GTCACACCGGTTATCGCATTGAAATGCCTTCTTTAAGATTTGAAAGAAAGGTTGACACTTATCACTTAACCTGGACACAAAACAACTCAAGATAACTATTCTTCCTGTTTAACATTGGATTTCCCTTGTGTTGGATGGTGGTTGCATATCCAGTACTGCCTTAACTTTTTCTAGGTTAGCTTCAATTCCTCTGATGTTGACTATGAAACCCAAAATTTTTTCCACAGATACTCCAAAGGCACATTTGGCAGGATTGAGCTTCATCTTGTACTACTTAAGGACCTGGAACTACTCTACTAGATGTCCGATGTGGAGCTCTGCTTTCAGCGATTTTACTAGCATTTCATCGATGTAGACCTCCATGGATGTTTCGATTTGTCTCTAGAACATTCGGTTTACCAGGCGCTGGTAAGTGACTCCAGCATTCTTCAATCCGAAAAGCATGACCTGGTAGCAGTATGTCCCTTGTTCAGTCATAAAAGAGGTCTTTTCTTGGTCACTAAGGTCTATTCTAATCTGATTGTATCTGGAGAAGGCATTCATAAAGTTAAGGAGCTCGTGTTCAGCGGTGGCATCCACAATTAGATCTATTTAAGGTAAGGGGAAACTGTCTTTAGGGTAGGCTCAATTGAGGTTAGTGAAGTCGATGCAGAGGTGCCATTTTTCATTGGTTTTCTTAACAGGGACCACATTTGCTAACCAAGAGGGGTAATCTACTTCTCTAATAGCTTTGGTGTGGAGAATTTTGCTAACCTCCTTATTGATAGCCTTTCGGTGTTCTGTGGCAACACTTCTCCGCTTTTGTTTAATGGGTTTGCAGACTAGATTCACATTGAGCTTGTGTGTGATGACTGAAGAGTTGATTCCCTTCATTTCTTCTAGTTTCCAGGCAAACACTTTCATATTTCTCCTTAAGAATTGGATCAGGAGGTTTTTGATTTCTCTACTTAATTTGGATCCCACATAGATTAGATTTTCTAGCTCATCATCGAGCTGACCTAGTTCTAGCTTTTTCGATGGCATTGGTCAAGTATCCAACTCATCCTTCATGTCGAGCTCATCTAACTGAATATTTTTAACATCCTTCTTTTTCACAAAGGCCATGTAGCACTCTCGGGCTACACGTTGGTCTCCTCGGACCACTCAAATTTCATTTTCTGTAAAAAAATTTCATAACAAGATGATAGGCAGAAGAAATGGCCCTCATAGAGTTAAGGGAAGGTCTTCCAAGCAAAATGTTATATGCAGAAGTTGCATCAACCACTGGGAACCTCACAGTAGTGGTGCCTTAGCAGGAGAGTCACCTAGGGTGAGCATGAGTTGGATTGATCTCAGGGGCAACACCCTCTCCCCTAAGAATCCCAACAAATGAGCACTTACTGGCTCAAGTTTTTCTGTACTTATTTCCATCTTGTCGAATGTAGACACAAAAATAATGTCTTCAGAGTTGCCATTGTCAATCAAGACCGGATGGATTATTTTGTAGGCAACTATGGCTCTTACCACTAAGGGGTCATCGTGGGGATGCTGGCAGCCTTCCTAGTTTGAGTCTAAGAAGGTGATAGCCGTGTCCAATCGTGGTGTTTTGGATACCGTGTGTACCTCTAGTGCCTCATCAGTTCTGATTCTACGCAAATGAGCTTTCCTAGCTAAGTTGGACTCCTCTTCTTCTACAAATCCCCCAGATATCACTCAGATTTCCTCTAGTGGTTGCTGATGCTGCACAAGGGCTTGCTGTTGAGGTGTTAGAGGTGGTGGAGCTCGATTCTGATTATCATAGGCAACAAAGCGGTGTAGCTGCCCTCGTTGGATCAGGAATTCAATATCTTTCTTTAGTTGGATGCAATCATCGGTGTTGTGGCCATAATCCTTGTGGTATTCATAGTACTTTGCGAGATCTCTCTTTGCTAGATCCATCTTCATTCGAGGTAGCCACCTTAAAAACTTCTCATTTTGTACTTCATATAAGATCTGGGATACTATGGCAGTGAGAGGGGTGAACTGCCGAGGTGCGTGCCTCGACTACAGTTACCTAACATTTCTCCTTCCTTTGGGGGATTATTCTCTGTCTCTTCTGGGAAACCTGCCTCTTTCCCTTTCCCTTTTGGGACTTCAGTCCCTCTTTTTTTCTTCCTTCTCTTTCACTTTCTACGATGATGAGCTCCTTATCTTTGAAAGGAGGGCTTCCTTGCCATTGATGTATTTTTCTGCCTTGGCTAGCACTTTTGCCATACTTGATTGTGTTTTTAATATGAAGAACATCAAGTCCTCCGACTGTACTCCTAAACCAGCAATGAAGGCAGTTATGGCGAATTTCGCATCTGGAACGTTCACCTTCAGGGATTCCGAGTTAAACCTTTGGACATACGATCGCAAATTTTTGTTGGGTCCCTACTTCACATTCAACAAGTGATAGCTCAGTTTTCTGTATGTCTTAGCCCCTATAAAATGGGACACAAAAGATATGGAGAACTCCTTAAAGGAAGAGATCAACGTCGAGGGCCTGTTGAACCATGTCAAGGTTGAGCCCTTCAACGTGATGGCGAAGGCTCGGCATCGCACAGGGTCCTGATATCCATGCAACTCCATCTGATTCTTGTAGGTATTAAGGTGATCCATAGGATCTTTGATCCCATCAAAAGCCTCCACTTGGGGCATTCTAAATTTTGGAGAGAAGGGGAAATGCAACACCTCAGCGGTGAATGGAGACTCAGTCTGCATTCACAAAGGCATCCATCATTATGGGAGTTTTATCTCTCACAGCTTCCTTCATGTGACTGAGCTTCTGCTAGATGTCCCTAAAGCACTGCTCCCACTATTGCTCTCTTCTTTCCTACTAGACAGGGCAAAAATCATTTTTTTCATTCCCATCGTTTTGACTCTACATTTCTTCATTTTCATCATTCCTAGGAGGTGGCTGAGGGAGCCTGGCTATTCTCTCCTCCTTTGTTAGCTTCCCTGAGGGGGTTGAGGTGTTAACGCTCCCCTCGAAGGGGACCTCCTTGGGCCGGTCATACCTACTAAGGGTCTTGCAAGAGTTTCAAAAATTCCTTGTTATGCTGGAGTAAACACTGGTTAACTAGACGAAGGGCCTCCAATTCATTATTCGTGGGGGGTCCACCATGGGAGGATTAGCCACGGTGAAGGGGAAGAAATCTTGAAGATTATCATGTTGCCTACCGCTAGTGGCCTCCTGCTAGTTTTGCATCCATGGGGGATTCATCTAGCTTCTGCACATGTTGCGTGTTGAGACAATTAATTACTGAGAGATCAATGTTTTTATAACAGGAACAATCGTTCCCACAGACGGCGCCAAACTGATGGTGTTAATTATGCGAATGAACAGAACTAGTGAATCGTGCAAGTAAGACTGGATCATGACTTCCAAGATCGAGTGGATTACGGTAAAAATTCTTGGGAAATAGGGAGGATTTGCACAGTGAAATTATAGTGGTTCATCGGCTAAAGAGTTCGACTAATTCACTCTTTAATGGAGTCTTTTGCTCCTTAGATCTATGATCATGATCTAAAGGATTTTCAGAGTGTATTTGATACAACCGGGACTACTTGCCCCTATTGGAGGCACTGTACAAGTATTTATAGCCTAACTCATAACTTTATGAGATCTGCAGCAAGATATTTGTTTTCTATACATTGGATCTCCCTTTATTTTGGGGAGAGAATCTTGGTTAGTTGAGAGTTTAACACCTTGATTATAGCTTTCTATTGCTTCGAGGGCACCTTCCTCCAATCGGCTTTTTCCTTCTTATTTCCCTTATTATTTTCTCTGAGGGGAGCTCGAGGATTGGACCATTGATAATTACAATTATTAATTTCATTGTGAATTCCAAGTAGAAAAAAAGAAAAAGTTAGAATCACAATAACTCCAAACACAAAATAGAAGAACGCTCAAATTAACAATTTTATTTACTAAAGAAAGAGTTTCCATTTAACTCAATTTTATTTAGAATTAATAGTATTATTGGTCTTTAAATATATATATTTTTTTTTCAATTCCTTATTATATCAATTTTATTAATTTGTTTCATAAAATATTCAATTAATATCATTTTGATCATTACATAGATAGACCATTAAGTTTTTCATAGAATAATCACGTATTGAATATGTTATACCATTTAAAAAAAATAACACGTGATCACTTCTATCAAAAAAAAATTTGATGAATTATATGATTATGGACTAAAGTGATACAGATTGAAGATTTTATGAATTAAATTCATAGAATTGATGCAATAAGAATTAAAATAATAAAAAATACATACTTTAAGTATCAAATATATAATTAACCTTAAAAAAAATACTTGAATACCTATTATATGATGAACGTGCAACAATGTTGCGAAGTCTCAAATAAGTTTGGGAACTGCTTCTGTCTTGTTTCTTCTTTCTCTCTCTAGTTTCCACGTGTGTGAGTGCGTGTAAACTATTCCTTTATCCACATCTTCCCTTGCTCCTCATAGCCTCTTCCTCCTGCCACACAACAATATCTTTCCCTCGTATAATGCCACGTAACCTTGCTGTCTCATCCATCACCATTATCTCTAACAAATCAAGAGCAAGACTATTTATGCATACAACTGCGATTAGAGAGAGAGAGAGAGAAGGTTCATGGATTCTAGACAGAAAAGATTAAGTATTGTAATGCTACCATGGTTGGCTCATGGTCAAATATCCCCCTTCCTTGAGCTAGCCAAAGCCCTATCAAAAAGAAACTTCACCACATATCTCTGTTCTACACCAGTCAATATCAATTCCATCAAACAAAAGCTCACCCAAAACAACTCTAAATCCGTCAAACTAGTGGAGCTCCATCTTCCGACTCTACCAGACCTCCCTCCTCACTACCACACCACCAATGGCCTCCCACCCCACTTCATGTCCACCCTCAAAAAAGCCTTTGACATGGCCAAACCTAACTTCACCATCATCCTTAAAACCCTAAAACCAGATATAATTATCTATGACTTCCTTCAACCATGGGCACCAGAACTAGCTTTGTCACTGAATATTCCCGGAGTTTGTTCTACCCTTCAGGCGAGGCAACGATGTCTTATCTCTCCCATCTTCTCCATCACCCAACTTCCGAATACCCTTTTCAAGAGATATATATTCGAGATTATGAGAAGGAGAATATCACCCATATGATTGAAGCAGTTGCAAATGACATCAAAGACACTGATCGAGCTCGTGAAAGTGTCCAAAGGTCATCTAACATCATATTGATCAAGACATTTAGAGAGATAGAGGGAAAATATATTGAGTATCTCTCAGTATTGAGTGAGAAGAAGATTGTCCCTGTGGGTCCACTTGTTCAAGAACCCCTTGTTGAAGATGAAAGCACAGAAATCATGGAATGGCTCAACAAAAAGGATAGGTTTTCAACAGTGTTTGTTTCATTTGGGACTGAGTTTTCTTGTCAAAGAAGGACATGGAAGAGATGGTTCATGGGTTGGAGCTTAGTGGGGTTAACTTCATATGGGTGGTTAGGTTTCCTGAGGGGAAGAAAATTAGGGTTGAGGAGGAGTTACCAGAGGGATTTCTTGAGAGGGTAGGAGAGAGGGGAATGGTTGTAGAGGGATGGGCTCCACAGGGAAGAGTTCTAGAGCATTCAAGTGTGGGTGGGTTTGTGAGCCACTGTGGATGGAGTTCAGTGATGGAGGGTATTAAGTTTGGTGTTCCTATCATTGCCATGCCTATGCATCTTGATCAGGCATTCAATGCTAGGATGGTGGAGGAGGTGGAGGTGGGTGACGAGGTTGTGAGAGAGAAGGATGGGAGGCTTAAAAGAGAAGAAGTGGCAAGAGGGATAAGAAAGGTGGTGCTGGAGAAAAATGGAAAGGAGCTAAGGAGGAAAGCAAAAGAGATGAGTGAGAAAATGAAGAAGAGCGGAGATGAAGAAATAAATGGTCAGGTGGAAGAGCTTGTTAAACTTTGTAGACCTTAAGTATCACTAAATTAAGCAATGTTGAAGATCTCTGCTTGTGGATATTTATATCAATAAACCTATTGGAATCTTTGACTTGATTAATAGTGAATTTGATTAAATTAGTAAATCAAGTCAATAAAATAAATCCAAGTAGTATTTCTTTGTTTATATACCTTTTGTATGACTGTATGGGTATTGGTTGGTACCACGCCCAACTTGTATATGATAAGAGTAGTGATGTATTTGTAAAGTCTCTTATCAAATTTTGTTTATTAAACAATATTGACGGTTGATTAAGTGGCCCCGGTTATGAAAAATCAACGAAACTCACTGACCTTGCCATCCACTTCGATTTGGTAAGAAAATTTAGATGAAAAGAAAAGTTAGTAAAAATTGCAATATTGTGAAAACAATTTATGTATTGCTTGTACCTCTCCAAGAAAACTAAAACAATTCTACAGAGATCTGCCTTATCTTTTCAGGCAAGGCAAACCTCTGAATCACATTCCATTACGTGTATTCTCGTCAAACCTCAATCACGTGAGTTGGTACATTGTGTAACATACCCTTTGAAGGTGAGACTATTGGGAACATCACGAATCAATCACCCAACCATTTTCAAGTAACAAACTTAGTTATGTTTAAGAAAAAGTATGTACAAATCCTATCACCCAAGTAGAAAAGAATACACCTACCGAATTTTATGAAAAGAAGGCTTTCTTAGTAAGTAATAGGGTTGTGTCCAAACGCTCTGTGGTGTGAGGGAGATTTTTTTTCTTAATTAGTCTAAAGTGCATAGATATAAATCATAGGCTTTCTTGTCTCCTGGAGTGTAGAAGGATATGGTCTGATAACATCATTTCTAAGGCGAGAGTGTTCTTTGCTACTCTAGAGTATCATGCTTAGAATTTGTTTTTGAGTCGTTGAGTATGATCTACTATCAATCTAATGGTCACAATGTATCAAATCCCCAAATAATGTCTGTAACACTAGTGTTTGATCGATCAATAATGTTTCAACTTCCATAACAAGACATTTGTGTCTGTTTACTGTGTACATCTTATACCTAAAGAGTAATATTTTTCAAATTTAAAATTTTGAATTAATTTATTGACTTATAAAATGTGACAGTTGATATGGTCTGATAACATCATTCCAACTGCAATTTTTGGACTTCTTTACTAGAACAACATGACTTAGCACATTATTATATCAATAAATCGAATTAAATTTTGGGAGAAGTAGTCCAAAAAGTATTAATCATTTCTATCTAAATAGTCTTCTGGGTAATGGTGCCTTCACCAAGATGGTGTTCTTAGTTTTCAATAACGAACAAAGGAATAGACAGTTTTGGGATTATTTCTCTTGCTTCTCACGACAGTGTTTCAAAAGAAAGCAAGAGGATGAGAGAGAGAGAGAGAGAGAGAGAGAGAGAGTTTTGAAGCAAAAGCAAAATCAGAGGGCAGACGAGAAACAAAAGGAAGAAGAGATGCAAATATAGAAGCAGAATTGTGGTGTCCACAACCAACCATAGCTGCAGAAAAAAATGAAGAACTTAGCAAGTATTGGGAGCAGTGGGCAGCTGTCGACTGATGACAATGACAATGAGGAGATCTCAAAAATGGCGATCACTTCGCTTCTAGCAAGAGAAGACGAGATTGAAAGGAAGAAGGTGGAGGTGAGAGAAAAGGTGGAATTTCAGCTCGGCCGTGCTGAAGAGGAAACCAGGCGTTTGGCTCAAATTTGGGAGGTAAGCCCAGTAGCAAAGGTAGATGGATTTAATTTGGAGAGCTAATCGGTTAGTAACTCACTACAGTTATTGAATTAATTGAGATTTTTCAGTTTTAATTTAACAACCATAATTGATTAAGTTATCAAAATAAGTATAAATAGTATTTTTTAATAAATAATCTATTTCCGGGATTAATTTCAAATTATTATGACATTGAATTCATGGATCAGTGCATGTTAGATAGGTCAACTGCCCTTTTTCTTTTTTTTTTTCTTTTTTTTAAAGTTAAACGGTAAGAAGTATTCGAACCAGTTTACGCGTATTTTAACTAATTACATCTCTAGTTCGCTCAAAGACAGGTCATTTATGTCAGAATTAGAGTATTAACGAGGGATAAATCTCTCATAATTTGACTTTAAAAATTTGTCAAAATTCAAACTTAAGACATTTAAATTTATAGGTGGTCTCAATTACCATATGAACTACCCATCGGAGTTAACTTGGCTTTTTCTTTCAAGCAATGCTAAAACCCAAAAAATTGCAACCCAAATGTATATCATCTCTTGGATGAGTGGGTCCTATCAATTTTTTCAGTTGAGCTCATTCATTCCATCCTCTTCCAAAGGGTGATATGCATTTAAGTCGTAAACATCACATTATTAGCTTCTAAAAAAAATCATCACATTTATTCATAGTCGCACAACTAACTAATGTATTATTATGTTCTAAAAAAATGGCATTTGTACTTAATTTAAAGATTTAATTAATTATAAACGTAGGATTAAAAGTGAGTTTCGTTTAACTTTAAAACTCACAACTAATTTAACAAGTGTAATACCAATGGGTCTTTGATTCAATGGTACTCCTTACCTTGTGGAGATTTTGTCTTCTTTAAGTCAAAGGTTCAAGCCCCTTTCTCTCTTACCCCTCCAAAAATAAAAAAATAATTTAACAAGTGTAATGAATAAAGTTTCTAAATTAGGCCGACGCCTATAGTATTTTCCGGAAACCTTATCTCATTGCTAGTCTCCATCAAATGACAAAAAAATTGTTTATCCCAAAATGTTATACATTTTCCATATTAACATGACGAAGATGATTTTGGTCACGATGATTCCAAAATTTCATTTGAAAAATATCTCCTTTTTCTTTTTCAGGAATGGGGTCTGCATAGACTGAGATCTAACGGAGTGGAAAAAATACTTTAATTTATTTCTTTTCAAAAAATTACACTTTTGAGCCCTTCAACTATATAATATGTCTCATATCACCTCCCCAACTATCATGTTCTCATATTGCACCTACAAATTAATTTGATTATTGATTTCGTACTTTCCCTCAATTATTATATTTTTCACATTTCATCGCTAATTATGGTTATTGGTTCCACATAACTTCAATTGCAGACATTATAAATCTATATTTTACTACGTAATTTGAGATTTTTCATCAAAAATATAAGGGATATTTAACCTTAGGTCAGTGTGAAACCAATTCGAAAAGTTGAGGGACAATGTGAAAAAGTCTATCATTAAGGGGCAAGGTGAAATCGGGTCCATAGTTTAGAGGGTCAAAATATAATTCACCTTCTTCCTCTTTTTTATTGTTTTTGGGCTGGAGTTTGAAGGTGACAATGCTAAAAAGCGAGATTATCAACTAATTCCATTTTGTACCCTAAAAGATATATCAATTCTTAATTTATACCCTTAAAGAATTAGATTCTCAAATTACACCCTCAATATTATAAAATATGTGCAATGTGGTCCCATTTAAAGCTCAAATTGCTGCCTCAATCTCAAATTTTACCCTTGAATTGGGCTACATTGCATCTTTTTTTATAATATTGAGGGTGCAATTTGAGAGTTCAATTCTTTAAGGGTACAAATTGAGAATTAGAGTATCTTGCAGGGTATAAAATGATATTAACCCAAAAGAAAAAAGAAAGAAAAAAGAAAAGACCAAGAGTGGTATATTAATTTGAAACTCCCTTATATTAATGCAATTTCAATATCTGAATTGTTGATTTCTTGTGAAATACATTAGGAGCTGGAAATGTTGACAGATCCCATGAGGAAGGAAGTTGCGATTGTGCGCAAAAAGATCGATGTGATTAACCGCGACCTCAAATCGCTTGGACAGAGCTGCCAGAAAAAGGTATGGCTCCCGAATTACGGTTCGCTCCAGTATTGAATTTTTTTCAATTCTCTCAATTATATCGGTGAATGACTCACTTGTAACATAGTGAACCGCATTTTATAATTGATTTTATCTCGGGCCCATTATATATTAACTTAGTCTCTTTGAACTGCACTTGACTTGATTGAATCGTAACTTATGAATATTAATTGGCGACAGGAGAGAGAGTATAAAGAAGCATTGCAGGTTTTCCATGAAAAGAACAACGAAAAAGCTCAACTGACAACCACTTTAGTAGAGGTAAGTCCTAAATTCTATAAAAATGAAAGCCTTTTGTTTGACATTTCATTTGATTATTTTCCTTCTAATTATAATTCATTACATTCTTTTTTCCATCACACAATTTACCAGATGGTGAACCAAAGTGAGAAACTGAGGATGAAGAAACTGGAGGAACTCAACAAGATTATAGATCCTATGCGCTGAAGTGTGTCGACTACTTATTGGCTATTGGATTGATGTTCTCAGCTTAGAATTACCTTTTAATGTCGTCTTGATGGAATGTAATCACCCTAACTAAACTATTTATTTGTTCTTACAACAGCTACTATGGCTATGTATCAATAACATCCTCGGATCATATCAAGGGAACTACTAAAATTTTAAATGATGTAATGTCATGTGCCAGCTTAACAGATCGTGTGATGGGTCGGGCAGCGACTATCGGATTGATCAAGATGGGATTCTTATTCTTCTTATGCTTCTCTATTTTGGTAAGGAAGAACAAAAAGATTAGAATTCAACAGCCTCCCTCGACCCTCGTCGTACCTGGAACATAGGAGCGTAGTGTTGGTGGTAGGCGACCATACACAATTTCAAATGGCGTCCTTCCTGTAGAAGCATGTAAGCTAGTGTCATAGCTAAATTCTACCCAAGGAATCCACTGCACCCAATCATTAGGCCTAAAAATTGTAAAACACCGAAGATACATTTCAACCGTCCGATTAACCACATCCATTTGGCCATCAGTTTGAGGATGGAAAGAGGAAGTAAAGTTAAAATTAGTTCCATTCAATCTGAAAATCTCTGTCCAAAATGCACTAGTAAACGTGGGATCTCGATCATAAATAATTGACTGAAGCATGCCATATTGTAACATGAATACTTGATCAAAAAAATACCTACGCCATGCTAGCTGTTGTTTATGGATGAGAAATTGATATTAAATGAGCATAATTTGACAATCGATCGATCACCACGAAAATGGTTGTTCTTCCTTTCAAGTTTGGAGGGCCATCAATGAAGTCCATAGAAATGTCTGCCCAAATTTGTGTGGGAATGGGTAAAGGTTGCAACCCATCTAGTGACACATTTTCCAATTTGTGGGGTTGACAAGTATCACATTGCTTGATGTACTCTCTCACTTGGTTCCTCATTCCCATCCAATAGAAAACTGACCTGATTCTTTGTATGGTCTTGTGGTAGCCTTCATGAATGTTGGAATGCATTTCAGAGATTATGGTGGGAATGAGTTCAGATATTTTTTTAAAAATATACAGCCTTTGTAGAAGAGAATTCCCCTCCTGTAGTCCCAGGGGCTGATGTCTGCACCCTCCTGGAAATCTGAATCTGGTGTTAAAGCTCTAGGTCTCTCTGGTTTTCATCTTTGATTGGGCTCAACCACTGGGTAATGGCTGAGAAATTCCTAGAACCAAAACTTCTCCTTCATCTCTTCCTGATAATGCATCAGCCACATTATTTTCGAATCCTTGCTTGTATTCAATGAGGAAGTCATAGCCCATTAATTTCACTAGCCATCATTGTTGCGCCACCGTGGTTATTCATTGATCCCACAAGTACTTCAAGCTTTTTTGATCCGTTCGGACAATAAATTGTCTTCCTTGTTGGAAAAATAATATTAAACAAAATTTTTCATGTTTAGGAGTTGTTTTTATGCATTTAGTTTTTTGTATTAGTGGGTTATCAATTTGATATTAGTGAGGAACAAAATAATTGTGGTATTTTAATTCTTCAAGTAATGGAGGAGTGGGGTCTTTATTATTTTTATTATTGTATTATGTAATGGAGTTATTTTGTATGTCATGTGTTATATATGAGAGTCTATATATATCCTATGTAATACATCCATTTGAATATGAGTGAATAGAAAGAGTTTTGAATATGAGTGAATAGAAAGAGTTTTTCTTATCTTCAATAATCTCTTCCATTATATTTTTTAGTAAGTGTGTGATAGTCCTTTAAATTCCAACAAAATGGTATCAAAGCTAGGCTTGAATGTTGAAAAATAGAAAGTGAGAGAGAGATGGCAAATGGAATGCTTTCATTTTAAATGTCTCGATTCACCAAAGATAACTATGAGAATTGGTGTGTCCGCATGAAGGAAATTCTTGAGTCTCAAGACTTATGAGAGATTGTAACAATTGGTTACATAGCTCCGCAAGATAAAGCTTCCTTGTCAAGCCCAAAAGGAAGTCTTACAAGTTACAAAAAAGAAGTATCAAAAGGCTCTTTCACTCCTCCATCAATGCTTGGATGATGCTATATTACAGAAGGTTGCTAGTGCAACCACATTCAAGCAAACATGAGATGTTCTGAAAATTGCTCATAGTGGAGTGGAAAAAGCCAAGAAAGTTCGACTCCAAACTCTACGAGATTAATTTGAGGCTTTACGTATGAAGGAATCCGAATTAGTTTCATATTATTTCACAAGAATCTTGGTGGTTGTGAATAATTTGAGAACTTATGGTGATGATCAGTATGATGATATCTAAGTGATAAAAAAAATCATCCGTTCATTGGACCTCAAGTTTGACTACATTGTCGTAGCCATTGAAGAGTTTAAAGATTTAGACACAATGACAATTGACAAACTCATGGGATCATTGTTAACTCATGAAGAACGGCTAGGCAAGAAGAAACAAAAGTCGTTGGAGCAAGTGCTACAAACCAAGCTTTCTTTCAAAGAAAAATAAAGAAGGCAAGATGGAAGTCAAAGAGGTAGAGGTCGTGGTGGACATGGTGGAGATAGAGGAGAAAACTTTGACCAAAATGCGTCCAACAAAGAAGAAAGAGGCCAAGAATCACATCGTAGAAGAAGACATGGAAGAGGCATCAATTCAAAGTCATATAGAGGGAGGTATGACAAATCTCATATTCAATGTTATAATAGTCATTGATATGGTCATTTTGCTTCCGAGTGTAGAAATGATGTTGTGGAAGAAAGAGCACACTTTGTTGATGACAAAGTTGAAGAGGTAGAGCCGACCTTGTTGTTGGCATACAAAGAAGAGCAAAAAGGAGACAAAAACGTGTGGTACCTTGACTCCAGTGCTAGTAATCATACGTGTGAATATAAAGAGATGTTTGTAGAGCTTGATGAATCAATAAGTAGAAAAGTCACTTTTAGAGATTTTTCTCAAATTCTGGTAACGGGAAGAAGTAATATTTTAATTCATTTGAAGGATGGAAGGCACCAAGTTATTTTTAATATTTTTTATGTTCCAAGCATGAAAAATAATATTTTGAGCTTGAGACAACTCTTAGAGAAAGGTTATGATATTTGCATAAAAAATCATAATATTTCAATAAGAGATGAAAACGGGAATTTGATTCTAAAATGCCGAAGACAAGAAATAGAATGGTTTTGTTAAACATTCAAAATGATGTGGCAAAATGCTTGAAATCATGTGTTAAAGATTCTTCTTGGTTATGGTATTTGAGATTTCGATACTTAAATTTTGGATGACTAACCTTGTTGTATAGAAAGAAGATGGTGAAAGGATTGTCCTCTATCAACCACCCTGATCAACTTTGTGAGGGATGTCTAATTGGAAAGCAAGTTAGAAAGAGCCTTCCCAAAGAATCCATTTCAAGAGCAACCAAACCACTTCAACTTGTTCACTCGCATGTTTGCGGCCCTATAAACTCACCATCATTTGGTAAGAATCGGTATTTTATTCTCTTTATTGATAATTTTAGCCAAAAAAAACCTAATTTTATTTTCTAAAACAAAAATCAGAGGTAAATTTACATCAAATGAATTCAAAATTTTTTATGAAAAAAATGGAATTCATCATCCTCTAACAGTTTCAAGATCACCACAACAAAATGGTGTTGCCGAAAGGAAGAACCGAATCATTCTTGACATGGCGCGGAGTATGTTGAAGAGTAAAAATATGCCCAAGGAGTTTTGGACAAAAGCTATTAATTGTGTTATCTACTTGTTAAATCGGTGTCCCACTAGAAGTGTTTAAGACAAAACACCACAAGAAGCATGAGGAGTAATAAAGCCAAATATTTCTCATTTGCAAGTCTTTGGAAGTGAATGCTATGTACATGTGCAGGATGAGAAACGGACCAAACTAGATGACAAGAGTGAAAAGTTTGTCTTTATTAACAATGATTCAAGAAACAAAGGTTACAAGCTTTACAACCCAAGTAATGGCAATATAATCATTAGTAGAGATGCTGAGTTTGATGAAAAAGATGAATGAGATTGGAACACGCCACAAGAAGACTATGATTTTTTCCCATTCTTTGAAGAAGAGGAGGAGACCAATGAGATCATGGAGCTACCCATTTATTCTCCTCCACCATCACTACCATCATCCACCAATGTCCAACATCTTCATCATCATCAGAAGCAAGTTCAACTGAAAGGTCAGCTCACATGAGGAGTCTTCGAGATATCTATGAAGAAACTAAAGAGGTAAGTCAAAGATTTAGTGATCTAACACTATTTTGTCTATTTGTCGATTGTGATTACATAGGCTATGAGAAAGCGGTACAAGACAAGAAGTGGAGAAGTGTCATGAATGAAGAAATTTATTATATTAAAAGAAATGGAACATGAGAACTTCCCACACTCCCTTGAGGACAAAAGGCCATTGGAGTGAAGTGGGTGTACAAGACAAAGAAAAATGTCATAGGTGAAATGGAGAGGTACAAGGCAATGTTGGTTGCAAAAGGCTATAGTCAAAGATCGGGTATTAACTATGATTAGGTATTTTCAGTCGTTGCTCGTTTGAAAACAATTAGATTGATTATTTCTTTAGCCGCTCTAAATGATTGAAAAATTCACCAAATGGATGTAAAATCCGCTTTTTTGAATGACTTTCTTGATGAAGAGGTGTATGTTGAACAACCCTTGGGTTATGTTGTAAAAGGGCAAGGAGAGAAAGTCTTGAAATTAAAAAAGGCTTTGTATGGTTTGAAGTAAACACCAAAGACTTGGAATAGTAGACTTGACAAGTACTTTTAAACAAATAATTTCACCAAGTGTCCCTATGAGCATTCTCTTTATGCAAAAGTGAATGATAATGGTGATATACTCTATGTTTGCTTGTATGTAGATGACTTGATCTTCACAAAAAATTGTCCAAAAATGTTTGAAGATTTTAAGAGAACAATGGCTAAAGAATTTGAGATGACCGACATTGGGCTTATGTCATACTACCTTGCCATTAAAGTGAAGCAAATGAAGGAATGTATTTTTATCTCTCAAGAAGGTTATGCTAAAGTAATTTTGGCAAAATTCAAAATGTAAGATTGTAAGCCAGTATGCACACCCGTTGAATGTGGTGTAAAATTGTCAAAATATGAAGATGGAGAGCATGTGGATCCCACCCATTTCAAGAGCCTAGTGGGAATCTTAAGGTACTTAATATG